TTCCCAGAGGACTTCTGGGCCCAGCTCCCTTGCCATCTACTTTCTATTATTATATATATATATATAAATAAAAGTAATCCCCCCCAAAAAAAGCAGAACAGATTGTATATGGACAACTAAAACTTTTGTTAGAACCCTACTAACTTGATTAACTTTCAACACTTGACTAAATGTACTAACAAGTCAACTGATGCACTTCATCTGCTTCTACTCTAATTGCTGATCCATGTTAACGGTACTTACAAGCAATGCAGTTACCAAAAGGTAGATATGCTATGACAGAATGACTGTTTTTTGCCTGCTCAAAAGCCATTTCTGACTTTCTAATGAATTTTAAAAAGCAAAAGTTGTCGTTCAACACTGTCTTTCAGGTGAGTCAGTCGTCTTGTTTCTTACAAGGAGACAGTATCAAATGCTGTGCATTGATTGTTAGGCAAAATTACAAACCTCGCAAAAGATGGAGATTTTCATGAAATTCATAAACCTGAATTTGTATATTTGTTTGAATCATAGATGGAGCCATTGACTAGTGAGGAAATGCCAATTAACCAGTTAAGTGAAGACATAATGACAGGATAGACCAGCCTCCTGGCAGTTTTACCTTTGTGAATGATGAAAATACCACCACTTCATTGTTACAAGCTCTTTTCACACCACCCTGAACAATCGTTGCTTGCATAGCCTACTACTATTTTCAAAAGTTTGCTGCCTCTTACCAAATCTTGCAGTTTGCCTCACAAAGAACAGCATTTAATAATGACAACACTGTACGTTTGTTTTGGGGAGTTTTTTATTTTGTTTCGGGGAGTTTTTTATTTTGTTTTTATTAAGAATCACAGTATACATGTATACAGTATAATGTGCAAATCTTTAGCCATAAAGCATATTTTCCATTTGAATATACCAACTAAATACATAAAGCCTGTAACAAAAAGATCTGTGTATTACAGAAAGTCACCATAAACTAAGGGTAATAGGTCACACAAAGTGAATCCAATGCAAAAATGGAGTAATACTTTTATTGTATAGTTCTGTTTTTAAATTTCGATTAGCATTTTATCTTGAAAATGGAAACCAAGAAATATTTTACAAAATTTGGGTTACATTTACAACTAAATGCTAATTCTCAGAATGACCAAAGAATGAATCCAGTGTTACCTGGGAGTTTCTTGGAGTAATTTTTCTGGCAAGTTTCTATTCTAATACCACAAGAAAACCTTCATTTTGTTTAATTTTTTAAGCATGCTCATTAGATGGGCCATTTTTGCATAATATTTGAGGGTTCTGTAGATCTTTCCAAGGGCCTCTCTTACTCCTTAGAAATTAAAATCATTCTTTTGAAATGTCTATCCTGTCATGAGGGAGGTCTGGTGGCCTAGTGCCTAAGGCACTCGACTGCTAACCAGAAGGTTCAAATCCACCAGCCACTCCTCGGAAGGAAGATGGGGCAATCTACTTCCGTAGTGATACTACCTCGGAAACCCAAGGTGGGGTCGCTATGAGTCCGGTCCGACTCAAGGGCACATAACAACAACAACAACTTCCTGTCATGATGTCTTCACTTAACTGGCTAACTGGCATTTCCTCATTAGTCAATGGCCCCACTATAATTCAAACAAATATACAAATTCAAGTTTATGAATTTCATGAAAACCTGCATCTTTTGCAAGCTTTGTAATTTTACCTAGCAATCAATGCACTGCATTTGATATTGTCTCGTAGTAAGAAACATCAAGGAGACTGACTCACAAAAAATTAATTACCTAAAAGAATAAATAAGGGGAAAGGATATTTGAGTGGCAACTCATTTTTTATCTTCACGAGTGAAAATTTTCCCACTAGATGACTTTTACTATACTCAGATACACATCCATCCATAATACAAGTTTCTAACTTAACATCTGCTAAATTGTGGAAAGGAATTGATTCCCCACTTCTTAAGTTCAAATGTGTAATATTTTGCTCATACTGAATGTTCGCTACTCTAACATCAAGATCCCCGAGTTTTAACTCTAGCAACTGTTCAAACACTGGAGTTCCTTAGAGCCTAGTTCTAGAACCTCTTCTCTTACTTACACATGCTCTCTCCTTGAGTGATCTCATCCTTCCCCATGCCTTAAAATATTACCATAAGGTTACTCAGTGCTGGTGAGTTGATGCCAACCCATAATCATCCTATTGGACAAAGTAGAACTGCATAGTTCCCAAATCTGTAAATCTTAACAGAAGCAGACTGCCCCATCTTCCTCCCATGGAGCAGCTGGTGGGTTGGAACTACCAACCTTTTGGTTAGCAGCCAAATGCTTTAACCAATGCACCATCAGGGCTCACCAAGAAGGTGCTCCTGTTGTTGTTAGGTGCTGTCAGGTCGGCTCTAACTCAAAGCGACCCTATGTACAGCAGAACAAAACACTGCATGGTCCTGTGCCATCCTCACGATTCTTGCTCTACCTGAGCCCACTGCTGCAGCCACTGCTGTCAATCTATCTCGTTGAGGGTCTTCTCCTTTTTTGCTGACCCTCCACTTATACCAAGCATGGTATCCTTCTCCAGGGAATGGTCCCTTCTGACAAGATGACCAAAGTAGGCAAGACGAAGTCTGGCCATTCTCACTTCCAAGGAGCATTCTGGCTGCACTTCTTCCAAGACAGATTTGTTAGTTCTTCTGGCAGTCCATGGTACTTTCAGTGTTCTTCGCCAGCACCACAACTCTAAAGCATCAACTCTTCTTTAGTCTTCCTCATTCACTGTACAGCTCTCACATGCATATGAGGGGCCACTGAAAATACCATGGCTTCAGTGTGGCACAGCTTAGTCTTCAAAGATACCTCTTTGCTCTTCAGCACTTTAAAGAGGCCTTTTGCAGATTTGCCCCATGCAATATGATGTTTGATTTCTTGACTGCTGTTCCACTGATGACTGTGGAGCCAAGTAACATGAAATCTTTGAAAACTTCAATCTTTTCTCCACTTAATGTGATGCTGCTTATTGGCCCAGTCGTGAGGATTTTTTTCTTTCTTTGAGGTGTAATCCATACTGCAGACTGTAGGTATCAACTCTCAAATACGTATTTTCAGCCCGTAACTTTCCTCTGATGTAAACATTTACCTCCAATTGTCTACCTGACATCTCCTTGTCATGGATTGAATTGTGTCCCCAAAAACTGTTAGCTTGGCTGGGCCATGATTCTCAGTGGTTTGGCAGTTATGTAACAATGTAATCACCCCCCATTGTGATCAGTCAATAGGTTGTTATCATGGTGGGATGCAACATCCTAGGAGCTATGATGGCATTGTGGTTAAAGTTGCTAACCAAGAGGTCAGCAGTTCAAACCCACCAGCTACTCCAAGGAAGAAAGATGAAGCAGTCTGCTTCTGTAAAGATTTACAGCCTTGGAAACCCTATGGGGCAGTTCTACTCTGTCTGATAGGATCTCTATGAGCGAGAATCAACTTGATGGCAGTGGGTGTGGGTCTCCCCCCAACTCTGGTCCCATCCCTAATTCAAAACATGGGGAGTTTCCCTAGGGTGTGGCCTGCATCATCTTTTATCTTACAAGATAGAAGTAAGCAGAGAAAAGGGACCTGACTACCACCAAGAAAGAGCCAGGAGTAGAGCATGTTCTGTGGACCCAGGGTCTCAGCACAGAGAACCTCTTAGACCCAGGTGAAGACTGATGCCAAGACACATGTAGATCTCCATGGGATACCAGGCCCACAGATATTAAAAGGAGACAAGGACCTCCCCTCAGACCTGACAGAGAGGTAGCCTTCCTCTAGAGGTAGTGCCTTGAATTTAGACTCCCAGCCTCTTAAAGCTGTGAGATACTAAATTCCTATTTGTTGAAGCCATCCACTTGTGGTATTTCTGTTACAGCAGCACTAGGTATCCAAGACACCTTGTGTGTTTCGATATGCACTGTCTCAATATACATCTCAAACTTAGCAGTCTGAAGCCAAACTCTTGTTCCCAAATTTCCCTGACCCACCTCTACCCATAAAAATTTTCTCAACTCAATAACGGGCACTATCATTTACCCATTATTGAGTTGAGGAAGCATGCCACTGAGTTCTACCACCAAAATATCTACTGACTAGGCCCACTTCCATTTATCTTCACTAAATCAAGCCACCTCTCTTTTCTGGTCTACTGCAATCTCCTAATCTGTCTATTTTCTACTATTCTTGCCTGCCACTCATAAACCATTCTCCCCAGAACAGCCTGTTACAGTCCTTCTTCCCTCTATTCAATGGCTTCAAACAAACAAACAAAAAAAAGAAACCCCCCCCCAACTGCCATCAAGTCGATTCTGATTCATAGCGACCCCCGATGGGTTTCCGAGGCGGTAAATCTTTATGGAAGTAGACTGACCAGTCTTCCTTCCATGGAAAGGCTGGTTGGTTTGAACATCCAACCTTCTGGTTAGCGGTCAAATGCCCTAGGTACTAAGCCACCAGAGCTAGTACACTTAAAATAACTCAAATCTTATTCATAGCGACCCCCGATGGGTTTCCGAGGCGGTAAATCTTTATGGAAGTAGACTGACCAGTCTTCCTTCCATGGAAAGGCTGGTTGGTTTGAA